TTAACTTAAGAGTTTATCATATTTTAACTTCTTCAAGTTAACATAATGTGGGACAAATATGACTATTCTCTGACCTCATATTCACGTGCACCAGAAAAAAATGCATTTTAAAAACGTTATTTAGATCAAATTAATTTTGGCTAGGTGCCCACCTTCCCCGGGCTGGAGGGAAACCATCTCAGCCATTTTTAGGGTTCTCGTCTTATCTCCAGAGAAGTGAGATGGTGCCGGGGCCAAAACAAAGAAAGGGGTCCTGCAGTGGACAGTCACTGGCACATCTGGGCTCTCAGCCTTCCAGTCCTTAGGTCACTCATCTGTGCTAGAGTCACTAAGGTGTTTCTGCCCATCTTAAGGGACTGATGACAACAGGCTCCTGTTGGTCTCTGTGGTTCCAAATATCCAGCATCCCCGACACTCCAGTGAGATCCCGGGGCACAGGAATGCTAGGTAAGGCAGGGGACCTGCAACCAGATCCCTTCTGAGGCTTTGTTTGCCACCCTGAGTGCAGGATACAGTTCCCAAACATGTGTAAATAAAAACCAGGGAGGCGGGGTGCGGTGGCTAATGCTTGTAATCCCAGCACTTTGGAAGGCAGAGGTGGGTGGACCACCTGAGGTCAGGAGTTTGAGACCAACCTGGCCAACATGGTGAGACCCATCTCTACTAAAATTACAAAAATCAGCTGGGCGTGGTGGCTCGTGCCTGTAATCCCAGCTACTTCGGAGACTGAGGCACAAGAATCGCTTGAACCTGGAAGACAGAGGCTGCAGTGAGCCAAGATCACACCACTGCACACCAGCCTGGGTGACAGAGCAAGACTCTGTCTCAGAAAAAAAAAAAAAAAAAAGCAGGAAAAGAGGCCTTGGAGATGACTCCCCTTTTCCAGCCAAGTAACCTGGAAACATAAATGAACACTACACAAAGTATCCTGCCAATATGTTTGTAACATGGCTTAAAATATTAATGTAATGTTTTTGAAAGACAAAATGAACACATACAACTACTAGAAATATTGATACCAAATGGAAAAGGATTAACTGTCAACTCTTATTCTACCTGCCAGTGATGACCATACCGTTCAGAAGACCCTTTAGTTCCCTGAATGCCCTTCAAATTACTCACCCAGAGTAACAGAGTTCACAGCCTGGGCCTGGTTGAAGCTGAGAAGAGAACGTGAAGACCAAATGAAGCCACTCCTAGAGAGAAGAGTCATCTCTGGCTGAAACAGTGACCTGGGGTGGGCTTCCGGCTCTTCTCCTCTCTAGACACGTCCTTTGATCTTAGATTTTCAGACTTTTCATGCAACAGAGAGACTAGAAGGTAGACTTGGGTGGAGACGTTGAGAGAGCTTTGAGAGAAGAAACTGCAGGGATATATATGACGCAGGTGCCTAATGTATTGCAGGTGGCCAATCCTCCGCACAGTCAGGGTAACGATTATCACCTGTGCTTGCCATAACGCCTCAGTGGGCAGTCACGAGATACCTCCACCAAGCACTTGCAGATTGATGGCAATGAAACCCCACTGGTCAAGGTGGCTTTCAAGGGGCCTGCATGCCATGAGCTGGCCTATCTGACTCCATTCAAATTCTCATGGCCTGGGACTCCTCACCTCCAATATGCCAGATCCAGTGACAGTATTAGATCCTCAGAGCGTGGAATCAGTCCACAGTTCTAGTCACAGCAGATGGATTCTTCTTCGTGGTGCACCCACTTCTCTTGGCTCTGGGACCTCACCTGGCTTTTCTCGTTTATCTCTGGTCACTCCTCTTTGCTAGCCCTAATTCTGCACTTGATCTTCAAATGGCAGCGTCCCGCACAGCTCAGCCCTCTCCTCCACAGTCAGTCATGCATGGCAGCCTCCTGGGGCGCCTGTTTTAGGTACGCCTCCTTCCTCAGTAGCCCCTCTCTCTTCTTCTTCGTCTCTGCATTTGGAAGTCATTTGTGCAATTTGCTGGGATTTCATTGACTCATTTCTCCCAGGTAGTGTTTCTGTGGAGGGTGGAGTTAGGAGCTGCTGGAAACTAGATGCTGCTGTCTGGATTTTCCTTTCCTGCCTGTAATTGTAAACCAGCCCTTCCCTTCACCTTACTGCTGCTGATGGGTATTTGCTGACTGTTAACACTGTTAGGTTTTGGGGAGACGAAGGTTTTGAGATGGGACTTCCCTTTGTTGATTTTAATCAGAAGTCAGGGACCCAATGAATATGTTTTCTTTATATTAAAATTTTTTATTAAAAGAAGTATATGGCCAGACAAGTTGACTCACTCCTGTAATCCCAAAACTTCAGGAGGCCAAGGTGGGAGGATGGCTTAAGGGCAGGAATTCCAGACCAGACTAAGCAATACTGTAGGACCCTCATCTCTACAAAAAATGTAAAACTTAGTCTGGCATAGTGGGGTACGCCTGTGGTCCCATCTACTGAGGACGCTGACATGGGAAGGTCACTTGAGCCTGAAAGCTTGAGGTTGCAGTGAGCCACGATCGCTCTACTGCACTCCACCTTCCTTCCATGAGATAGAGTAAGACCCTATCTCATGGAAGGAAGGAATGGAAGGAGGGAAAGAAGGAAAGAGGGAAGGAGGGAGGGAAGGAAGGAAGGAAGGAAGGAGAGAAAGAAATAGCCAAAGAGAGAGAGAAAAAGAAAGGAAGGAAGAAAAAATAATAAAACTTAAAAGGGATTTCTGCAGTAACACATAAAACAGTCTTATCTATAAATTTCCTTCCTGGATCTTATCATCTCTTGTGATTATATATTTATTTGAGGAATAATATTTAAAAATTTTACCCCATTCTTTGAAAAGTCTCTGAAGGGAAAGACTGTATCTGCATTGTGGCCTCAGTCACTAGCAAAATGCCTGACATATGATAGATGTATATAAAGTATTTCTTGTGGTGAATGAGTGAGTTTGTCAGTCAGTCAGTCAGTCAAGTAGTTAATCTACTTCTAGGACCAGGTTATTCCCTCTCATTCATAGTATTATAGTCAGTTATGCACCCCCCACATTGGGGTGTGTGTGTGCGTGTGTAGTTGGCATTAACAGCCAATGCTATTTGAGTAAAATGTATTTGTGATATGCCTGATACTCTGCTACAAATCAAAGTGATTGGATTCAAAGTGTGAATCCTTTATATGCCTTTGTCCCCAGCCAGCTTGAAGGCCTGAAGCAACAGTAGCTGGTGAGTGCCAGGTCAAAAGTATAGGCCAAAATGTGGTCTGTCCATACAATGGAATATGATTCAGCCTTAAAAAGGCAAGCAATTCTGACCCACACTACAACATGGATTAACATTAAGAACATTATGCCCAGTCAAATAAGCCAGGAGTGAAAGGACAAATACTGTATGATTCCATTTATATGAAGTACCCAGAGTTGTCAGATTCAGAGAAAGGGAAGTAGATTGCAGGTTGCCAGGGGTGAGGGAGCCAGCAGGGGGAGTTAGCAGGGAGTTAGTGTTGAATGGGTATCCGGTCTCAGTTTGGGAAGATGAAAAAAGCCCTGGTGGACGGATGGTTGTGATGGTTGCACAGGAGCATGATGTATTTAATGCCACTGAACTGTACACCTAAAACTGGTTTCTGTTGTGCGTCTTTTATCAAATTTTTTAAGCTTAAAAAAAAGTATAGGCCAAGGGCTGTGGGAGCTCAGAGGAAACATCTGAGGGAATTCTGATGCCAGCTACTAAGATAATGTATTTTTTTAAATCTCTAGTATAGCGTATTAACTGAGATCATATGGGAGGGAGGGGTAGTTTTCATGAATTTGATGACAAAATTGGTAAAACTAATAAGAGAAGAGAAATGCATTTCTCAAAGTGTTTCTCCTGTGTAAAGATGTTTGGAATCTCATCGTGAGTAGGCTTGGGCACTGATGCGGTTTGGCTATGTCCCCACCCAAATCTCATCTTGAATTCCCACTTGTTATGGAAGGGACCCAGTAGGAGGTAACTGAATTATAGAGGCAAGTCTTTCCTGTGCTATTCTCGGGATAGTGAATAAGTCTCATGAGACCTGACGGTTTTATACAGAGGAGTTTCCCTGCACAAGCTCTCTTTGCCTGCTGCCATGCATGTAAGACGTGACCTGCTCCTCCTTGCCTTCCGCCATGATTGTGAGACCTCCCCAGTCACGTGGAATTGTAAGTCCATCAAACCTTTTTCTTTTGTAGATTCCCCAGTCTCGGGTATGTCTTTATCAGCACCATGAAAATGGACTAATACAGGCATCGTCTCTGAATAGCAGTCTCAAATTCTGACCTTGATTTTGCATCACCCTGACTGCATAGACCACTGTTTCCAAGTCAACCTGAACACAATGCCTACCATACATCCCCGACTATTCACTTATGGAGAGATTTGCCAGGTAGAGTAGAGCTGTTCAACTACATTTGCTGCTTCCAAATTACAGTATTTTCCCATTAAAAAAAAAAGCCAATTTCATGTTACATTGTCAATTCCAATATGTGCTTAACCGCACAATGACCTCAAGCATCCCAAGTGTTCCAGGAGGATGGAAAACATTCACCTGCACATATGAATATGGCCCTGAGCCAAAAGAAAATGCTGAGTCAGGGGTTCTCAAGGAGAGGTGGAGGCAGGCCTATAGATCCCTTCCTTTTTTTTTGAGACAGAGTCTCACTCTGTAGCCCAGGCTGGAGCGTAATGGCATGATCTCAGCTCACTGAAACCTCAGCCTCCCGGATCCCCATTCAAGCAATTCTCCTGCCTCAGCCTTCCGAGTACCTGGGATTATGGACACACACCACCATGCCCAGCTAACTTTTGTATTTTTAGTAGAGACAGGGTTTCACCATGTTGGCCAGGCTGGTCTTGAACTCCTGACCTTGTGATCCTTCCGCCTTGGCCTTCCAAAGTGCTGGGATTATAGGCATAAGCCACCACGCCTGGACTTGTAGATCCCTTTCAGGAAAACCAGGCTTTGTGGAGGGGGAGGGGTTGTTATTTAAAATGATGTCCTCAGAGCTTGATAAATAATAAATGATCCTTTTGTAGTTCATATACATGATGATTGGGTTTCAGCATGCACTTGTGAGATGTGCCTCCCTCCAATCTTGTTACCACATCTGCACATTACCCATCTGTGTGAAAAATAGACACATTATTATTACAAATGCTGCTCTTACCCATCGCCTCTTTTTGCCTGCCACTTTCTGGTCTACTCTTTTACCCTGACATATGAACTACTTATTTTTCCCACATGAGTGCAGTACAATGGACCACGGGGGTCAAACCCTGGTAAAGGAGCTCCCTGAACAGTATCTGCAGCCAGCATAGCACAGCCCATCCTAGGATGAGTCTCGCAATGAGAGAGCGAAACACTGTGAGAGCTGACTTGTTCCATCTGGTTACATAGTGTTCCATTTTAGCTCCTTTTAATGTTAAATGCTCATAAAATGCAACAAAAACTTCTCCTCTGAGACACTTGGTCTTTTTGAGAAACACAAAAGAAACAAAGGATTTACAACCTGATCATTCAATTTCTCTAGGCATGAAATCAATGTTATCACCTTTGCAGAACTGCAAGGCTCATTGATTTTTCTATCTTGATTTTAATGTCTCTAGGATGAAATCCGAGCATGTACTGTGTCTCCAAGACCACCTTTCACATTGGAAAAATCTTCTATTCACCTAAAAATGTTTGAAGGTTTGTTTCCCGCAGGTGAAACTCAGCTGCCTTTCTGTTGCCTTTTGTGGGGCAGCAGTGATGAAAGTGCTGAGCTAAGGGAGAGGAGAAGGCAGCAGGCTCCGAAGGCCTCAAGTTTCTGAAGCTTTGCACTCACTTGCCTGCTCTTAAATGATGCCCAAAGACTGACCAATCTCCCAGTATCGCAAAAATTACCAATGATCACATTTTTTTTTTTTTTTTGAGAGATGACGTCTGGCTGTGTGGCCCTAAGCTGGTCTCAAATTCCTAGCCTCAAGCCATCCTCCTGTCTCAGCCTCCTGAGTAGCTGGGACTACAGGCACCAGCCATCATGGCTGGATCACATTCATGGCTGATTTAATGACTGCTTTATCAGCCACATTTGGTACACCTCTTTAGGTGGGACAGCAGACTCTGAGGAGATTTCTTGAAACTGTGTTTTAAAGTAGGTGATCCTGCTTCAAAGGATGCTTGACTGGCGGATGAGGAGTTGAGGTACCACCTTCAGTTATCTCACAGCCGATGGGTACCCCAGGACACTCATGATCCGGGATTCCCTGATGCTTGTTTTGTCGTGGTTCCCTCCAATTAGAGGTATAAGGGGTTTTGCTCCCTCCCTGTGAGAGTCATCCAGAGATTGGCTGTGCTGTGCTGGCCCACCTGTCACAACTCCAGGACGCCTGGAGATTGGAGGAAATGACTGTAATTCACTTGGCTAAAGCCAGTTGTCTCTAACAAATGCTTTTATCAGTACTTATGGGAATCCCATGGTCCTAATAACCCAGTAACTTCCATTTTAGATCAATAGAGAGACTGATTAGAAAGTGCCTCAAACAGAATTACTAAATGCCTGGTGCCCAAGCTTCCTCGTCTGTAAAATAAAGATGCGAATAATAGCATCTTGGTCATCACTCAATCAGCATTGACTATTATTGTGAGCACATTATGATGGACATCGTCATTGAGAATCTACTTTAAATCCACTCACTCATTCCTTGGTCTAAGAGTCTCATGGGGCCATGAGAGCCCAGCACCTTCTCTTTGGCATCCCTTGGATGTCTTTTTGTAAACAGCCTGAGAGATTCACAAATCAGTGTACAAGACTAGCATGTTTCACGGTTAAGTATTGATACAATGACTCACCGTTTATAATGATGCCATTGAAGATTACCTAATGATGTAGAATCATGTACCTAGTACAAATAGTAAGTTTAATAGTGGACTAAAAATGATATGTAACCCCATTCAAAACTGTATTAACTCGATATATGTACATAACTTTGTAAAAACTTCCTTTTTTTTCTTTTTCTTTTTTTTTTTTTGAGACAGAGTCTTGCTCTGTCACCCAGGCTGGAGTGTAATGGTGTGGTCTCGGCTCACTGCAACCTCCACCTCCTAGGTTTAAGCGATTCTCCTGCCTCAGCCTCCCGAGTAGCTGGGACCACAGGCACCCGCCACCATGCCTGGCTAATTTTTGTATTTTTAGTAGAGACGGGGTTTCACCATGTTGGCCAGGCTGGTCTGGGACTCTTGATCTCATGATCCACCCTCCTCGGCCCCAGTGCTGAAATTACAGGCGTGAGCCACTGCTCCTGGCAAAAACTCTTTTTTCTTTAAAGGACTGGAAACAGTAGTCCTGCGTTTCTCACCTGGGCTAATGCAATAACTTCTTGGTTTTCTCTGCTTCCTCTTCAGCCTTCCCATAATCAGTTCTCCACTCAGAAGCCAGATGATTTAAATATTCAAATTAGATCCCAACTCCTGACTACAGCCTGCAAGGTCATGGTCAGCCTACAAGGTGCTGCCTTTCATTGAGGGACCTCTCAGCCTTCACCTCACTGCTCTCCTCTTCACCCGGCCAGCTCCTACCACATGGGCCTTTGCTTCTGCCTTAGGAGGTCTCTGCCTGCAATGCTCTTCCCCACCCCTCCACAGCTCCTAGCTGGCAGCCCCTTATCAATCAGGTCTCAGCTCTAACGTCCTCTTCCCATGGAGGTCTGCAGATTTCCTGATCACCAGTGGGCACCCAGTCACGCACTGCCACAGCATGCTGCTTGAATTCCCCTCATGGAACGGCACGATTGTCTGAAAGTTGTTTGCATGTCTGTTCCTTGCTCCCCCTCTGCACTGTGAGTCCCTGCACTGTGAGGCAGCAGGGATCTCCTTTGTCCTGTTCATTGTCATAGTCCCTCACAGTGCCTGGAACAATGCATGGGACATAGCAGGTACTCCATGTGTACGTGCGGAGTGAGTGAGCAAATGACAGCAATCAAAGGTAAACTGGGGGAATCTGCACGGGAGAATGACACAGCAATGACTTTTTTTTCTTGTCTCTTATTTCTCAAATTTCCCACAATATGTATACAGTGTGTTTGTGTCATTGAAAATTTTTTTTGTCTTAGGCAATAAAAAGGAGGTCGTTTGCACAAATAACTATTCATGTGGCATAATAAAACCTGTGCGAGAATGGAGTCTTGAGGAATCACACAGACAGGGCTCGGCCGTGTTCTAAGTCCCCTGGCCTGCTATCTGTGTAACCTGTCAACAGTCTCAACCTCCTTGGGGCACATACAAGGTTTTCTGGCTCTTCTGTTTCATTCCAGGGTTTGGAACATCACCAGGGACACTGCATGCTTTGACAGTCACTCATTCATACATAGACTTATTATTTTTCCAAGCTTATTGAGGTATGATCAACAAAAGCTGTATGTATTTAAGGTGTATAACTTGATGTTTTTGTACACAGATACATTGTGAAATGAGTGCTACAATCAAGCTAATTAATGCATCATCAACTCACACGGTTCCTGAGTGTGTGTGTTGCTAATACTTAAGACCTACTCTCAGCAAATTTCAAGTGTATAATACATTATGATTAACTACAGTCACCATGCTATACTTTAAATCACCAGAATGTATTCATCTTACAACTGAAACTTTGTACTGTTTAACCACCATCTCCCACCCCTCCGGCCCCCTCCTGACCCCTGGTAACCACCTTTCGACTGTCTGTTTCTAGGAGTTGACTTTTTTAGATTCCATACATAAATGAGATCGAGCAGTATTTGTCTTTCTGGTGTCTGGCTTATTTTAGTTTAATTGTCTTCAGGTTCATCCATGTAGTTGCAAATGGGAAGACTTCTTCCTTTGTAAAAGTTGAGGAATATTCCAGTGTGTATGTATACCACATTTTCTTTATCCATTCATGGACTAACAGGCATTTAGCTTGGTTCCACATCTTAGCTATTATGAATAATGCTGCAATGAACAGGGGGTATAGATGTCTCTTTCACATACTGATTTCATTTCCATATGTACACTGATATCTATGCCCCCTAGGGCGATGCCTGGATCATATGACAGTTCTATTTTTAATGATTTTAATAACCTCAGTACTGATTTTCTTTTTCTTTTCTTTTATTATTTTACTTTAAGTTCTGGGATACATGTGCTGAACGTGCAGGTTTGTTACATAGGTTTACATGTGCCATGGTTGTTTTCTACACCAATCAACCTGTCATCTAGGTTTTAAGCCCCGCATGCATTAGGTATTTGTCCTAATGCTCTCCCTCTCTTTGCCCCCCACCCCGACAGGCCCTGGTGTGTGATGTTCCCCTCCCTGTACCCATGTGTTATTGTTCAACTCCCACTTCTGAGTGAGAACATGTGGTGTTTGGTTTTCTGTTCCTGTGTTAGTTTGCTGAGGATGATGGTTTCCTTGCAGCTTCATCCATGTTCCTGCAAATGACATGAACTCATTCTTTTCTATGGCTGCATAGTATTTCATGGTTTATACATGCCACAATTTCTTTATCCAGTCTATCATGATGCGCATTTGGGTTGGTTCCAAGTCTTTGCTATTGGGAATAGTGCTGCGGTGAACATACGTGTGCATGTGTCTTTAGAGTAGAATGAATTATAACCCTTTGGGTATATGCCCAGTAATGGAATTTCTGGGTCAAATAGTATTTCTTGTTCTGGATCCTTGAGGAATCGCCACACTGTCTTCCACAATGGTTGAACTAATTTACACTCCTACCAACAATGTAAAAGCGTTCCTGTTTCTCTGCATCCTTGCCAGCATCTGTTGGCCTCCCGACTTTTTAATGATCACCATTCTATCTGGTGTGAGATGGTACCTCACCATGGTTTTGATTTCTATTTCTCTAATGACTAGTGAAGATGAGCTTTTTTTCATGTGTTTATTGGCTGCATAACTGTCTTCTTTGAGAAGTTTCTGTTTGTATCCTTTGCCCACTTTTTAATGGGTTTTTTTTTCTTATACATTTGTTTAAGTTCCTTGTAGATTCTGGAAAATTTTTCTCCCGTTCTGTAGGTTGCCTGTTCACTCTGATGATGCTTTCTTTTGCTGAGCAAAAGCTCTTGAGTTTAATTAGATCCCATTTGTCAATTTTGGCTTTTGTTGCAATTGCTTTTGGT